AGACTTCGAGCGGCCACCGTCAGTGCCATCACCGGCGGCAATGACCATCGTTGCTCTCGACGAGGGCGTGCGTCTGTACCCCGGCGGCACCCTACCACTGCGGCAACTTCTGGTCCTCGACTCGCCGCCTCCATAAAGAGAAGGCTGGGGCCTAGGCGGTCGTTGGGGCTGATTACGGTGATGGATTAGGGGGGCTGGTGGATGAGCAAGAGCGACGATTGTCCTCTTCCTGCCTCCGCAGCCGCTATTTCCACCACAGCTACTGACGAGCCTTGATTGCGCCAACCTCCCGACGTTGGGCGTACAGCTTCTGAGCTGTTGCTGCTCGTGCAGCGGGGCACTCGCAATTGTAGTCGGCTCGGCTGCCCGTACGTCGGCAGCCGGATGTCTGTAGCTGCCAACCATGGGCGGGCGCTGAGGCAATGCTCGAGGGGTCGGTCTGTGCAATCACTGGCGTTGCTCAGAAGGGACCCCAGAGACGCCATGGGAGTGGTTGTAGGATGGCGGCACACCCTTTGAAGCGGCCGCTTGTGGCCTTCCCAATCACTTTCAGAAAGAGGAGGGGGGTTGGTGCAGACAATTGACCACCTCTTTCCGTTGGTCTTCTACTTCTTGGGGCACCCCCGTCGCCCAGAAGTGGCCGACAAAGTTGTGGACAAGGACAGCAAAGCTCTGGCCACGCCCTCCAGGACTGGCGTTACGTAAATCTCTCAGAACGCGGCCAGAACCGGACGAAGCAGTCGGGCAGGGAGTGTCAATAAGTCGACGAGTGACATGTCACGGGCAGACAAGGTAGGCAACACAATCCTGCCTAGAAGGCAACAGCTGCTGCCTGCAAGGCAGCAGCAGTAGCTCGAGTCTTATATGGCCCTCTCTCTTCCAGTGAGGAGTGAGGGAGAGCCAGAGATCAACGATTGCATCAATTGCTTCCCGTTCTTCACTCTCTGTTTCGTCGTGATTGTGCGCCTTACATGACACCACCGGAGCCTTGGCCATTTCCCTCCACGCGTCTCCAAGGCCAGTAGGAAGGCAGTTTCTGGAAAAACCCAAAATGAACGCGCGGCAAGGGTCGAAGATGGGCGCGATTGCGACGGGTTGTACAGTATCGGCCGCACGAGGCAGCCTCTGTGGTGTCCTGTTGCCGTGGCCAGTTGTTCTGGTTTCCACCAAGGGTCGGTTCCTCATCGAGGTTGCTGTCATCGAGGTTGCTGCTACTTGGTAACAGCGGCAATGGGACTTGTGGCCATGGCGTGGAAGATCCTGCAGGTTGGCGGCATCCCGAGTGGGTTGGCGGCATCCCGAGTGGACTGGCGGCATCCCGAGTGGATTGGCGGCATCCCGAATGAATTGGCGGCATCCCGAATGGATTGCAGGTTGGCGGCATCCCGAATGGATTGGGCATCCCGCACTGAACGCAGCCAGAGCTGGACGAAGCAGTGGGGTTGGCCGCAAGTCGACTGGCGGCATCCCGAATGTATTGGCGGCATCCGGCATGAAATGGCGGCATCCCAAATAGATTGGCGGCATCCCGCAGCAGAGCGCGGCCAGAACTGGACGGAGCAGTGGGTTGGCCGCAAGTGGACTGGCGGCATGAACTGGCGGCATCCTGAGTGGATTGCAAATTGGCGACATCCCGTATGGATTGGCGGCATCCTGAGTGGATTGCAGGTTGGCGGCATCCCGCCGAATGGATTGGCGGCATCCCTCCTGAATTGGTGGCATGAATGGATTGCAGGATGGCGGCATCCCGAATGGATTGGCGGCATCCCGCAGCAGAACGCAGCCAGAACTGTGTCACGACCACGCCCAACCCTGCACGAGTGATCTGCATGTCCAGAATTGGACGTAAGCACCTTCCTTTGTCATCACACTTTCTTGTCATGCTATTGTTAAGAAAGTGGCGCAATTTCTAACCTATTTGCTTAACACTTGCACCTCAACCTCTGCAGCCGCGCGCTGCACTGGCTTCGGCCGCGGCCATGGCATCTGCCACGAGCTCGCATGCCAGCTCAGATCCTTTTGATCTGGGTGCTCATACTCCGCCTAACCTTGCCCGCTTAGCCCGTGCAACTCAGCTCCAAGGCAGCTCTCCTATTGTGACCCGCCCCATTGGTCTCCCATCGTCATCCCGGCGACCGGCGGCAACGCCGTCCTCGCCTCTAGTCCGTTTCTCACATGCCGCCGCTACGGAAGGAGCGCGGTACGACCCCCGCCCGGACCGGCCCGGCACTGCTGAGACCAGCATGCTCCAGCCGGTGTCTATAATTGATGCAGCCAGCAAACTCGCCGGCGACGAAACTGATGCCCATAACGCCAAAATGACGGTCTTTCGAGCCTTTTGTGACTCATTCGAGCAGACCGCGAAGCAATTCACATCTGGTCTTGAACACAGCTTCGCAGAGCACTTCTCCAACCGCTTTCTCGACCTTTGGAGGCAGACGCCCTCCGATCTCCGACTCGCACCCGCGCCGACATACAGCAGCTGGAGGAAATGTGTCGCTGGAGGAAAATTGTGTCGCTGGAGGAAAAAGGTGTCGCTGGAGGAAAAAGGTGTCGCTGGAGGCCATGTGTCATCCAGTGGGGCGGAAGGTCAGAGCGTAACGGCCCGCTTTAGCATGATGCCACGCCTGTATAATTGCTCCTGATCAGTCGCTGGCGAATGGACCTTAGAGATCTCAAGTTGAGGTCTCTATTGCTTCGTAGATAGTTTCATCGAATCTCTTTGTTCGCGCGGCGGGGCGCTGCCCAGAATCATGGCGGACCCTGGTGGGGGTGGGGCACTTTAGCCCAGCGTCGCGGTTGACGCGTTCGACGCGTGGGACGACGCCAAACGGAAAGGTTCAGGATACGCTTCGATCGCTCGAAAACGCAACAGCAAAAGTGGCAGAACGACCGGCAAGGCGATCGACGCGAATTCTGGGGACGGAAAACGAATCGGAATATGTGGACGACCAGAAGAAGGCTCCTAAGTATGGCGAGACCGGGAAGGCAATGCTCCAGAGGGTGTTGGAAATGCTTGGGAAGATGGGAGGTGAGATTGGAGAGCTGAAGCAGCGGATAACCGAGCAGAACGACACGATCTGCAAACAGAGCAACGTCATCAAGGGACAGGAGGATCTGATTCGAGAACTCCAAACCCAGATGAAGGAATCGAGCGACGAGCTCCATCGCGAGAATAAGGAAGCACGGGTCGAGCTCCAGAACACGCAGAAAGAGCTCCAGGCTACCAAGGAAGAACTCAAGCACATCCGAACCCAACTGGAAGCCCTGAGTGCAGCAGCTGCGTCAAACCAGAGTAGCGCGCGAGCCTCGTGCGAGCCAACGAATCTGCGCAGCCTGTCGATGCAATCAACGCCGTCCTCATTCAGCGACACGCTCTATTGCACGATCGACACGTCACGAGTCGAACAAGCGAACGAAAGCCGAGCGCAAGCGGGGCAGATCCGCCAGGCAATTGAGAGCGAGATGAGGGCGAAACAGGGCCAGGACGCCTGGAGATGCGCCGCAGTGGTTAAGGACGCCCGGAACACGGACCGCGTAAAGATCATATGCAGAGATGAGACTGAACTGCAGCAGGTTAAGGAAGTCGCCCAAAAGACGGCTGTGGTCGGGGCGCGCGTTATGAGGGACCAACTTTACCCGGTCAAGATCGACAACGCCAACCGCACGGCGGTCTTGGATACGGAGGGAAACGTACTGGCCGGGGCAGCCGAGGCGCTAGGCACCGAGAACAACGTGACCATCGGTAAAATTTCTTGGCTGAGCAACAAGGAATCGGGAAAGGCATACGGATCGATGGTGGTTTATGTCACCAAGGGCAGCGACGCGAAGAAACTCCTGGACGGCCACTATTTCGACCTTGCAGGAGAATCGGCCATCACGAACGTCTTCGAACCACGGGCGGGCCCGATCCAGTGCTTCAATTGTCAAGAGATCGGTCACAAAGCGTACACATGCAAGAAACCACGGGTTTGCGGGAAATGCGCGGGGCTGGGGCACCACCACAAAGACTGCAGGGTGGCAGAGCCAAAGTGCGTGCCCTGTGGCGGTCCGCACGAATCGTTCAGTTGGAAATGCCGGGTGAGGAACTCAAGCAGCAATGCATAAGTGCTTGCGCAGCCTACAGCTCAACGTGCGAAAGCAGGAACCAGTACAACTGAGTTTGATGAATGACGGCGACCTGAGGGAGTTTGGAGTGATAGCGGTCTCGGAGCCGTACGCGCGCACGGTGGATGGCAGGGTGACAACGAGCCCGACGGGACACAGGAACTGGACGAAGATGATACCAACAAGCACACACGACGCACCGTGGCCTATCCGGAGCATGTTGTGGGTCCGAAGTGACATTGAGGCAGAACAGATGCCCATCCAGTCGGCCGACCTCACGGCCGCGGTGCTGCGACTGCCCGCAAGGGACGTATTGGTGGTATCGGTATACGTGGAATGGAACAACGACCAGGCGCTGACGGCCGCGATGACGCTCTTGGATGACCTGATCCGAAAATTCCGTGATGGGACCGGCAGGCGTACGGACGTGGTGCTGGCAGGTGATTTTAACCGCCACGACTTCCTCTGGGGCGGGGATGAGGTCTCGGCGAGAAGGCAAGGCGAGGGTGAGCCCATCATCGACCTTATGAGCGAGCATGGCCTCTGCAGCCTGCTGCCAAGGGGCACGAAGACGTGGCAGGGCCCGGAGAGCGAGAGCACGATCGATCTGGTGCTCGCGAAGTCGGAGCTGGCGGATGAGATGGTGGCATGCGCCATACACCCGACCGAGCATGGATCGGATCACCGAGCGATCCAGACAACATTCGACGTCGAGATGCCAGAACGGAGCGCGCCGGAGCGGCTCTTGTTCAAGAATGCTCCCTGGATCATGATTGCAGCGAAAGTGGAAGATGACCTGCGGCCGCTTCCCTGGACCGTCGACGTGCAGATACAGGCGGATCAGATGATGCGAGTCGTCCTGGAGGCAATACACGAGTTGACGCCTCGAGCACCACCGCTTCCATATGCAAAACGCAGTTGGATCCCAGTCACTGTTGACTGCCTGCTAGGCAGGAACGCCACCGAGGAGACTGCCTGGCAGGCAGTCAGTGGCGTTAGGCAGTAGGGAGACAGCAGTCACAGCTATAAGTAGCTTGTTCCTGCTGCAGTAGATAGATTGAAGCATCATCACTTGTTCTCCTAGTTCAGAGCTTCAACTAACGCTGGTGGACCAAAGACCTGACGCGACTGCGGCGGGCGTATACCTTCTGGCGGAACCAAGCGAGAACGCAGCGGCGCGCTGGTTCGGCTCGGCCGGACTTGGAGCAACGAGCCAAAGAAGCCGCCAAAGAATACCATGACGCCATCAGGAAGCAAAAGACATCACACTGGGACGAATTTGTTGCCGAGGACGTGAACATCTGGAAGGCCGCCAAGTACCTCAAACCTAGCAAGGACGTGGCCGACGACAAGGTGCCGCCCCTGAGGCGGGCAGACGGCTCTACGACGGGAGACAAGGCAGACCAGGTAGAGGAACTGCTTGCCACGTTCTTCCCGCCCTTACCGGCGAGGATCGAGGCCGAAGGGGAGCGCCCACAACGGGCACCGGTGCCCATGCCAGACCTGACCCTGGAAGAGATTGAGGAGAAGGTGATGGCGGCAAAGCCGTGGAAGGCGCCTGGGGAGGACGGCCTACCAGCGATTGTGTGGAAGAAACTTTGGCATGTCGTGAAGTACCGGGTGTGGACTCTTTTCGATTCGTCGATTCGAGACGGTGTTGTGCCTCACCAGTGGCGCACGGCAAAGATCATCCCGCTGAAGAAGCCGGAGAGAGGAGACTACACGGTAGCCAAGGCGTGGCGGCCGATCTCGCTCTTGTCGACCCTCGGGAAGGTCTTGGAAGTAGTGGTCGCGGAACGCCTCTCCTACGCAGTGGAGGCCTACGGGCTCCTTCCTGCCAACCACTTCGGGGCGAGGAAACGACGGTCGGCCGACCAGGCGCTGATGCTCCTGCAAGAACAGATCTACAAGGCCTGGCGGATGGGCAGGGTGCTCAGCCTCATTAGCTTCGATGTGAAAGGCGCCTACAACGGGGTGTGCAAGGAACGACTACTAGAGAGGCTGCGGGCCAGAGGGATACCCGAGGGGCTAGTACGGTGGATCGGTGCCTTCTGTTCCGAGCGGTCAGCATCCATCGTGGTGAACGGACAGGCATCAGACAGACAGGCGCTGCCGCAAGCAGGGCTTCCACAGGGCTCACCGCTGTCACCTATTCTGTTTCTCTTTTTCAACGCCGACCTGGTGCAGAGAAAGATCAGCACGGCGGGTGGCTCGGTCGCCTTCGTTGACGATTACTCGGCCTGGGTGACGGGCCCGACGGCAGAGGCAAACCGGGCGGGCCTCGAGTCAATCATCAACGATGCGCTCGAGTGGGAGAAACGCAGTGGTGCAACGTTTGAGGCGGACAAGACGACCATCATCCACTTCACACGAATGGCCGAGCGCAACAGTGAGACGGCATACACGATCAAAGGACAAGAAGTCAAACCGACGAGCAGTGCCAAAATTCTGGGAGTGATCATGGACTCCGAGCTGCGGTACAAGGAGCACATGGCTAGAGCCGCGGCCAAGGGACTTTCCGCTGCAATGGACCTACGACGATTGAGGATGGCCTCTCCGCGGATGGCACGGCAGCTGTTCGTGGCGACGGTAGCACCTACTGTGGACTACGCCTCCAATGTTTGGTCGCACACGTGCGGCTTGAGGGAAGCGGCCTGGCTGGACAAGGCGCAGAGAGTGGGAGCGCAGGCCATCACCGGAACGTTCCGGACGGTTGCAACGGCAGTGGCCGAGGCCGAGGCCAGTATACAACCAGTACGAGAAAGGCACCGGCAAGCTGCCACGAGACTGTGTATCACGCTCCGAACTCTGCCGAGAACTCATCCACTGGGGAGGTTCAAAGTTAAAGTAAGCAAGCGATTTGGGTCGCCGATGCAAAAGATCGCATTGATGCTGGCAGAGGCGGACGTGGACCGGATGGAAGTCATTCACGAATACGCCCTGGCACCATGGAGCGATACCCAGCGGACCTCGACGCTGGCTGTGGCTGCACAGTCTTGGAATTCGAGGAAAGCTGCCTGCGAGCTTTCAGCCGCTTCTCCCAGAAGTCCTCGCATGACTGCAGTGTTGTCAAGGCAGAGGTGTATGCGATGGCCAGGGCGGGTGCGTAGCGCCTGTCGCAAGCCATTGAGCGCCCCTTCTACCTCGCCGTCGAAAACTTCAGCGACGCCTAAGCGCCCTTTCCCCTGGCCTATCTTTCGTGTTCCCTGATAAATCGCATACCCCCAACCGACCGCATCAGTTGACAGCTTGGAGCCATCAGAGAAGACTACTACGTGTGCGTCCGGCAGTTGGCTCTGCCATTGTCGGAAGGCCTTCGCCTCGTCTGCCCTTGGATCCGTATTCTGGTAGGCTGTTTGGGACTTGAGCCGCCTCATTGTGTATAAAGACGGGCCGTGGGAAGTCGGGTAGCAGTAGTGCAGCGTGCTGGAGTCTTGTCCTTGGTTGTTGCAGGTCCCCGTACCTTTTTCCGCCGCGGACCTTGCGTCTGCTTATGCGGCGGACGAGCGGATGGTCATGGTCGACTGCCCGAAGGCGAATGCTAAAGTTCATGCGTGCTTTGTCCAGGGCGACCTGGGCTGTGGGAAGGCCAGCGTCCCGGTATAGGGCTGACGTCGGTTGCTCTATTGGCCAGCTGGTCACCGGGCGTAATCAACTAGTGAGTGTACTCTCCGGCTGTCCTGTCTCTCTCAATAAAATTATTGTGCTAGAAGGATGCTTCATTCTTCGTCAATTTGCTGCCGGCCACATAACCTTTCACGCCAATGTTTTTCTTCTCTCTGCGCCTTGTCGGGCATCGCTAAGCAGTTTTGGGCCATCTCCTGCAGTTCTTTGAAGCTAATCGTATCTCCGAACGACCGATCGTCGTGGATCTTCAAGACTCGCGGGAAGCGCAGAGTGTAGTAGGCAGTATTCGCCGGCTTGTCGAAGCCAGCACCCACAAGTTCAACTATATACGGGATGTGTAAACAGCTCGACGGGACGTAGTCGCTGAGCTGACTCCAAGACGACATCAAAATTCGGTGTGGACATGGCGAAAGGCATTCGAGTGAAGTATCCTTGTCGGTTTAGGAGTACGATATGATCCTTCGAGATACCGTATTTGTCAACGATATCGATAATACGAATCCTCGGCTTTGCATCAAAGCGGCATACCTCATCTGTGTTGTCCACGCATCCAATATAAAATGCCGTCCACCATAGCTTGCCCATTCCAATGTCATGCTCATCATCGGTGTTGTAGTGCCCGCCGACGATGATGAAGTCGGCAGAGTCACCGAGGCCTGGGATGTAGTCTTTCTTGAGTTTGATGAATAGTTTACTGTTGTCGAAAGTGAAGTACGGGTCGTCGCAGCCTTTCAGCACCAGTCCTTCCCACCGTTGAGTAATAGCTCGAGTGAATACCGCAGTCAGCTCTTCAGCCGCGTTCATCGAGGAGAATGTAACCACCTCGCGGGATCCTATATCGGCATGGCCTGGGATGCGACAGACAAGAGACTGAAGCCTGTGTCGCCGTTTGTCGAGACTCTCCCTAGCACAAAATGTGTCATCAAGGAGGAGGAGGTCGTAAAACACGACCATGAGATGCTCATTCGCAGTTATTGGGGAGTCTTGGGCTGCTCCAAGAAGCCGCCCTGATCGTCTGACGTGCTTGCGGATCCGGTGGAAAGGCGCGATTGTCCGAGTATCATCATTCCACACAAGGAGCTCTCCCTCCAGTATGCACTGCTTCTTGATCGCACAGTCTGCCGCGCCAAGTTTTAGGCTTTCTCGTAATGCACGATGAAGTCCCATGCGGTCTCTGGTCGAGTCCCTCCCGCCCTTGGAGAATATCTTGATGCCGGACTCACGGTTGCTTAGATCGACGTGAATTTGACAGTATTCGCCGTCGTACTTCCGCTCCACGCTCATGCGCCTCAAGCGAGCCAATTGGCAGCAATGTCTGATACTCCTTGCTTTTTCATAGGCAGGCCGCGCAATCATCACACCAACCTGTGGCTGTAGCACGTCCCACAGGTGGTCCCAAGTATGTTGCACTGGTTGGATTGGCGTTTGCCGGGTGTTTAATCTCCTTAGGAGCCTTGTCGCAGCCGGGATTGAGTTCTGAAACCGAAGGAGGTCCGAGAGAAGAGGATGAAATCTGCGCATCGCCAACATGTCTGGGATACGAGCCGGGCTGTAATTTTTGGACAGCATGCGTACCAACCATTTAGCCTCGTTGCTGCGCAGTCTTCGGAATACACTAGACAGAAGCTCCGCCGAGCTGGTTGAATTGCATTGTTCTTCTTCTGAGTCGTTTCGTAGATCATCAGATGAGAATGGCGACAGGGCTGCAAGCCGATCGAGGATACGATCCAGCCCGCGGAGAGTCACTGTCGGGCCTATCCGGGGTTCGCAGTCCGTTATAGCCATCACGCGCTCGACGCAAGTTGCGAGGCTTGGGCCATTGCTAGTTTGCCATCTCTGGAGTTCCTTCATTCGGGATGATCCAAGACATTGAGCCCGCTGGATAATCCCCTGGATCTGTCTCCGTGATAAACTGAAAACCCGGTCCGGCCTGCGTTCAGGAAAGAGACATGACAAGAAAGCCACAGCTTCCGGGCCCCATCGTAGAATGGCTTCATCGTGCTTATCGAACCAGCCCGCAAGGGTGCGGGCATCGAGCTCTTGGACTTTTATGAGACTGGATGACTTTGTGTGGTTTTTTTCGAGCTCACTCAGGAGATTGCATAAAAGGTGGAATGGGAACGGCATATCGTCTGCAGGTACTGTCTATAGCCAGAAATGCGACAAATTGAAGAACGATGGCGAATGGCGAAGGGACGAACGAGTGAGTCCAGGCACAATAATAGATCGGTGCCATTCCAGGTTATAAATATATGGACACAGCATCTTCTCTGCCGCATTGCTCTGGCCTCCGAAGCGACTAGTCGCAAGCTAAGTAGCTGGCCCTTCTGACAACGACGTCATAATTCTCTTCGCCACGGCTGCCTGCGCCCAATCTACCTTGTCAAAATACTTGATGTGACAGGATGCGACATCCTCGTGGCTTGGACCAGTGCGCGGGGCTGAACTGGCCGCTCGTATATATCCAGCGGCACAGAGATTTCCGGTACACCGGCGCATGGAGCCGGCACGTTTGGAGCAATCATCGACGAGGTCATGAAGTGCGCTCCCTGCATTGCTGGTCGCGCGAAAATGTGTCGAGACGGTACGTACGCTCAATCGGTTATGAAGTGCCTAGAACTAGTCATGCAAAAGTAGCGCCATCCCTCTGCATATTTTGGACACGGCTAATCTTCTTTGATGACGCTTCATGGTTGCCTTGCTGACTTCCATAGCTTCCCTCGCGGCGGCACTAGCTGCTCTCGCGATGGTGTCGTTTTCCTGTATGCTAGCGACGACCCGTTGGGTCATATTGGTCGCGTTTTCAGCTCGTCTCGTATGTCGTTGATGGCTCTGTTGGTGATCTCCGCTGTGGTTTTGGACTCGGTTTGCGCGATACGAGTCTCGTCCTCGACTTGGCCGAAATCCGGTCTGCCTTGTTACTTTGAGGATCAGGGACAAGGTAGCAAGAGCGCAGCTCTGACCCTGTGAGAGTCGATGGGTGATCGGTTTGCGGTGTCAATTAACGCCGATGCCGTCCGTGTGTAGGTGCTCAATTTCGTGGCGTGCTCTCGGTAGTCGATAGGCCAGGTTTGGTCCTCAGGCCACGGGGTCGCCATGATGCTGACGTCGCAGTGGGCGATGCGACGGGCACTGGGCTATCCAATTGACATTTGGAGCGTTGCCTCCACGCCGCCACCAGCACCTCGCCGCCATGACCAGTGACAAATTGCTCGTACGAGTACGATCCATTTTTCGGCCGGAGATATGCACCGCACACAGAAAGCCGTTATGCGGTTACTGTACCATGGCTAAACGGGGGGGCAGACTGAAGTGGATTTCGTCTAGGAAAGAGACCTCGTATGGCGAGTGCTTGTGTCGACTTCCGTACATTTGTGTACGATGACGATAGAATGCAGTCGACAATATTTCGATTGCTTGAGCGACTCCCTACGGATGGCTGGGAAGAAGCACCGGAACGAAAGCCAGCCATCTGGTGGAAGGGGCATCGCGCGTGGCATGGAATGCAGGACTGCCCGACTTGGAAGTTCTGCCACACGGCGTCCGTAACGCGGCCTCCGTAGCAAAGTGGTTCGGCCTGCCTAGCAATTGCCGTATTAAGATATGCATCAGTCTCCGACCTAAGTTGGGGAGGGCCAGAGATCAACAATTGTGCCCATTCCCCCCGTTCTTCACTCTCTGTATTATAATGCTTGTGCCCCTCACATGCCCAAAATGGACACTGAGGACCCGAATGTCTGCCAACTACCCTTCAAGAGACCAACAGAATCACTTGAACCGTTTTACACCGTTCAGAGCCCCGCGGCATTCCCATGAGTAGGGTAAGAATAATTATCACATGACAAATCTGGTGGTAGATGAGGCACGGTCAAGCCATAAAACCCAAACTCGGCCGTCCGTGCCACCATCGAATTGGGAGGTGCAATCGGCTGGTGACTACGTGGGAACTAGCCAAAAGCCAAGACAGTAACAAGCGGTCCGGTAATATTCTGAGTCAGGTTGGTTGACCAGTCGGCGTAGAATCACGCGAAAAGTGAGCAACAGAAGAACGTCTTGCAGTCCAGTCGCCAGTCTTTTTAATCTGTGACGGGCTCATGTGCCTGGGTTGCAATATTATCTGCATTATCCTCTGTCTGGGTCTTCGTTGTGCTCATTTGCTTTCATGCCACGGACTACGCTCGTATACGACCTCCACCAGTTCGTATAAGCGCCAAAGCCTATCGTTCGAGCGTCTTCCGTGCTCGTCGTGGCGCTTTCGAAGTCGAACAAGGACTCCATCTCTGCAAACGGATCCGCACTCGGGGATGGGGAACAATTCATAGTGGCCGAGGCGGGCCACTGTGGTAGCGGCGCACCGGAGAGAGGGGCGAGGCTGGACCAGTATGGCGCTGGGTCAGGGAGAGGCCATAACGTGCAAGCATCCACATCCATGGACGTCGTCGCTGACGCTCCATTCGTGGCGCATGTCCTTGGGTGCTGTTCTGAGGCCATCGTCGGCGTTATAATCGGTGTCGTTGCCGATATGAACGCCGGCCGCTGCTGCGCCTTCTCCTGGTCAAAAAGCGGCTTGATACAGCTGCGGCCTAGACTCGAGCGCAGATGCCGCGCAAATGTTTCGAAGCGGGCGAACGCTCTTCCGCAGCCCCATTGCTTGCTGGGCGATCCCTTCAGCTCGCCGCCGCATAGGAACTGTTGCTCGCCGCGGTGTAAGCGCTCGTGGCGCTTGCGGTCGTGCTGCCGCGCAAAGGCCCTGCCACAGACGGAGCACATAAACGGTCGCTCGTCATTGTGCGTGCGCAGGTGCGAGCGCAGATTGTACGAGCGGGTAAAGATCTTCGAGCAGAGAGGGCAGGTCAGGCTCGCGGGATGCCTCTGTCTCGGTTCCCTGCGCGTCGTGAAAGGGCCGGTGGGGTTGTTTGAATTGGAATGGATTTTGGCGTTGGAGCTGCTGAGGGCTGGCGAGGCCATAGGGACGCAACTAGACTTGGCCTGAGCTGGATTCCCAAGGGTCAAGGACGAGCTGATGCGCGGTCGGTCGAAGAGATAAGTAAGATAGGAGTTGTCGGCGACGGTGCTGCCTCCGGTCCTCGATCAGGCCTCATCGAGGGTACAATAAGAATGTAAAGAGCTTCAAGACACCAATAGGAAAGGATATAAATCGCAGGAATGGAGAGGTCTTACAACCAGCGATTGGACGTAACTTGTAAGTTGTCGAGTTCAATGTTTGGCGAAACAACTCCGACGTGTGACGTGATCGCTTCTCCGTAGTGTCCACGTTATGGGCAGAAGGCGGCTAAAGTCACATCTCCAAGAGTCGGTTTTAGCATGTCGCAGCAGTTGGGGTCGTGCGGGAACATCGAGGAGACGGCCCTACCATGTTTTCTTGAACTCCTCCCATGGATCCACGATTAGACTCTTGGCTAACGATGAATTCTGTCCAGGGGCCGCTGACTGCATAGTGTATGTCCGTGCTACAGAGCAATCTTCCAGAGCATGTGACCGCACAGTTGAAACTTGATCGTTCACTCGCTGACTGGGGAAGACCGTCTCACACACAGCCCTCGGCTTGACAAAAGATCGTGTCTGTCCTTGACTGCGCCATTCACAGCACTGCCCGAGGCCCCACCACAGCCCGTTTCCAGAACGAGATAGCGTAACTCGCTGCGATGGAACGCCACGTCCAGCCATTGGGTCCTGCCGCGAACCATCCGTTGATTTCTACCCGGGCGCAGCAGGAAGTTGCCATGCCCTGTTTCCAGCCGTGAAGGCGTCGTCCGTCCGCAGCATGTAACAAATTCCATAGTTACCCGTTAATGAGGGTCAATGGAAACATAACAAGCGCAAGAAGTATTGCAGCAAGAGGTCGCATGACGAGTACTTATTGTACTCTTTTCGAGGATCGAGGCTCGCGAATGGGACTATGACAGGACATTCAAGATTGTGGTGAGGGCCGGTAGCGGAGCCGACGACCACGTACTGGCCCGGGCGTTGAGGAGGGTCCAGTCGTGGCAGTCCGTCAAGAAATCGTAGCATAACAGGACGAGCCATCTTTGAAATGCAACACCTTTCAATTCCCATTCCGAGCCCATCCCGTGACATAAGACATAATGACTGATTACCGCAAGCATGGCGCATCCGTCTCTCCTCCGACCTTCAACTACATCACAAACATCAGGTTCGTATCTACCAAAGTCAGCCCGGTTCAGCGAGACACTTGGAAAGCACTTACCCAGAGGATGACTGCACGACAGCTGCGGCTTTTGCGTGTATTTTGTTGACAGGAGGTCGCGGATGCTGTTGAGGAGTTCGACATAGCTCTGCTTGGGGTTCTGCTTGAGCGCTGTGATAAACGCCCACGACATGGCGCCCGTAGCCTGTTGGGCAATGGTAGCATCGGCCCTGTTCCGTCAGTATCAAGAATGGGGCATATCCGAAGCAATATACGTACGAAGTTTGATCGTCCTTGCTGCCCGACCACATAACGACATCGGCCGGCGACGTGCGCGTCTGGATGGTCATGTTGTAGGCATCGTCGCCCTTGTATGCCGTCTGTGCGAAATTGAAGATTGAGCTCGCCACGCCACCAAGGTCGCCGCGCGTATAGGACCCCAGAGCACCCAGCAGACCCTGGCCAGCCTCTTTGGCCAGGTTGGGCTCCTTGAGGACGCCCTTGGTGGAGTAGACGTATGGCAGATCCATGGCAGTAGCCGAGTGGCACGAGTCAAAAATGGCCGTCAGGAGCAGGCTTGAGGAGCTGAGCGAGAGGACGGTCCGGGAAGCGCTCTGCTGGCTGGCCGAAAGCTCCTGAAAGAAGACGATAAAAAGAAAACGGTGGCGGCCCCATGGCGAGGCGCTGGCCAATCATGCATGGTAGTCCCGCCACGAATGGACCGCCGGCTCGGGCACTCCCCCAATGGGCTGCCCCGGTAGAAAGGAAAGGGGGTCAAAGGCGACGAATGGCAGAGCAGAAGCCGGGCGGGATATGAACGAGTGGGCAGGAGGGCGGGAGAGGGCGGTTGGTGTCCCCGGGCCAATGATGAGGCCGGCCACTACCCCACGAAGCGACCCAAAGCGGAAAAGGGCGGAAGGAGCCAACCGGATGGCATCCGGGGTGAAGGGGAAAAAAAGAGGGAGCGGGCTGGGGGGAGGGGGTCACGAAGGTAAGTCCTCTCGGAACTTCGTTCCTCAAGGCAAGGCACGGAACTTCGTTCCTCAAGGCAGTTCCTCAAGGCACCTCAAGGCAAACTCAAGGCAAACCTCTCGGAACTACGTTCCTCAAGGCATGCGTATTTGTTTGATTTGTTTGGCAGTTTGTTTGAAGTGATTTGATTTGAGGGCAGCGCTGATTCAATGTGTCGAGTAAAACATATAGTGACCAACTCCCCCATCTTTCGATTCCCTGTATCTGCAGTGTTCTAGATAACCGCACGCACAACGCGCTTAGGTAGAGAAGCCCACGTCTTTTCCTCCTCAAGCTCCTCCTCGTCAAGCAAAACGATTCCGGTTTGAAGATCCATTTCAGTGGCCCTGACATACAATTTCCAGTCACGAGAGTAAAGCTTCCAACCAAGGTACAGGACGAGAATGACGGGGCCGGCGAGGAAGGACATGAAGAAGGTTTCAGCTGTTGGTTCGGAGCCATCAGAAGCCTCAAACTCACTGTTAGTAAAGTGTAAAATCAATCTAATATCTGAAACTTACAAAAAGGGCGGAGTAGAAAGTGGCGATAAGAGCAAGAACGTTCAGACCAAGGCCGATGTAACTGCCTACAACACCAAACGGAGACTTGTACGGGACAAGACGCAAATTGATGCCCTGGGCCTTGAAACCAGCACGCATACGGGCGTGGGCAAGGCAAATGCTACCCCACACGAAAAGGAATGCAAGACCAGAAAGGGCGAGAAGCCAGTCAAAGATTTGACCGCCTTTTGGAGACTCGCCGACATAGGCCAAGAGACCAAAAGCAAGTTGGATCACCACGCACCAGAGAGGGCGGCCCTTGCTGTCAATATAGTTCAGGAATTTCGGGGCATGGCCGCGAATCGCCATGGCCTGCATCGTCCGAGTTGAACCGAAAGTGCACGAGTTGGCAACAGACAAGACGGAGATAGTGATAACTGCGTTGAAGATGGACGGAAGGACGTTGATGCTGGCATCCTGAATAGCCAAGACAAAAGGAGAAGCCTTTGTATTAGCACCAGAGGCGCCTAGAAGACGCTCATCATCACGTCGGATAATGATACCGACGATGAAGAGGTTGATCACGTAAAAAAGGGCGATACGCCAGAAGACCTGCTTCGAAGCAGTGGGAATAGACTTCCGGGGGTTAGCAGACTCCGCAGCAGCGAGACCAACCATCTCAGTACCGCCGAAGGCGAAAGCTATTTTTTAAATTAGCCAGAGAGAACGACAAACAAACAGGACGGGAAAACTCGCCCGCAACGACGAAGACGGCGCAGAACCCTTTGAAATTAGTAAAGGCACCAGGGTCGTACCAGTACTTTGTGCCAAGGTAGCCCTGATCGCCGACTCCACCGCAGTTGATGACAATACCGAGGATGATGAAACCCAGGCAAGCGCAGATTTTGATAAAGGAAAGAACAAACTCGACTATGACTGATTAGTGTCAGGTTCACGAGAGACTGAACGGCAACGCTCACCTTCGCCATAGCCACGGACACCAAAGATTTGGACAATGGTGAGAGCGACAAGGAAGACAGTGACCCACACGGCCTGTTGATTGTATGTTAGATCTCAGGTCTTGTAGCCGGGGAAGTGAAGGGCCTAAGTTTCAAGCCAACGGCAGATGCCAAGACGGATGCTCGGAGAGACGAACCATGTGGATATCGGTGCGCCAAAACTCAATCGTTTTTGACGCGGCGATCAGCTCAAAGGGAAGGACAGTGAGCCAGGACAGTGCGTACTCCCAACCGCAGGCGAAGCCCCAAGATTGATCAACAAAGCGGACAATGTAAGTGTAGAAGGCACCATTGACAGGATACAGGACGGCCATTTCCGCCAGTGCCATATTGGTGATCAGCAACATGATACCGATAATGAGATCTATTGTAGTGTAATCGTCAATTATCGACGTGAAATCGAGCGTGATAGTAAGGATTCTTACAGCCTGTAATGGTCAGCTTTTTATCTTCTTGAATTCCGAATCCTCAAATTGCTCACCAATGACCAGAGACGCAGGACCGCCTTTGTGGAGAGCACCACCAGAACCGACAAAGAGACCAGCACCGATTGCACCGCCGATGGCAATCATCTGCATGTGCCGCGTGCGAAGGTCACGCTTGAGAAGACCCTCCGGATGGGTGGTGCCTTCTTCCACATCGTGAGACTGAGGTTTAACGGTGGCCTGGGTCTCGAGATCCTTTGTGGGAGACTGTGAAGACATGGTGGACGAGCTTTTGCTAGCCAGAGGGTGTCCAGTTCAATGCAGGGGGGGAGGAGAGACTGCCAAGAATGGTCTCTCGATGTTTTTCCAGAAGCAAGGAAGACGCCGCATGGAAGAGATTCGCGTTGTCTTTATTCGACGTGGGATTTAGGTACACACACGCGCTAGACAAGCTTTTAGACAAGCTTCCTCGCTGGCGTATCTGGCCCGGTGGGGCTCCGATTCAATGAGGATAAATGGTGCATCCCGGCCAGGGTGGAGACTGGTCTCGCCTTATGCAATCGTCGGGATTTGTGTTGACTTGATATCCCTTTGAAAGTGCGAAGGCCAGGCCAAGGTATCCCGCAAGGATTCTAACCCATCTGAGCCGCTTCCTAGTTGCGGTACTCAATTCAGCGCGACAGTCAAGCCCAACCCACAAGTCTCTTGGAATACGTAGCGTTGCCTCAAGATCCTTGAAAATCGCCGCCACCAGCGCACTGTTTCTTGTCCTTGGAGGCAGTGCGGAGCACGTGTCAGTGGACGTGGAACCTGGGGGTGGCCTCCACACTTTCAAAGGAATGGGAATCCTTGTCGGAAATTACGTCTGTGAAACCAGAACCAGCAGTTCTACAGCCTTGCCAACTCGATTAGGAAGGTGCTTAGCGGATGTTGATAAGCTTTTTGCCGGATTTCCGGAATCACGACCCAGGATTGATTGTCAAACGCGCCTCGTTTTGACCTTTTGACCAATCATCACCATTGCGTTTTTGACGCCATTTTGCAGCCACCGGACACGCCGTCACTCCCCAGTTCCTCGAAGCTGGCGGGCAGGCTGTCGAAAGAGCACGGCCCCACTGTGGACCTAAGCCAGGGCGAGACCCACTAGGCGAGAGCCAAGTGGAGTGGAGATTGCCTTTAACGACTTGTGGTCCACTGCAACGTACTGCGGAGGATGGTCCTCGTCAGGCTGACTCGCCAGCCATCCGACCCGATATGGCGTGCCGTGCTGGGGACGGCGACGCCAGCTCGGGGTTCTCCGAGCAGCCAAAAAGAAGCCTACGCGCCTGCTGCCCAGCGCGTCCTGGCGAGTGGTGCGCCAGCACGAGGTTGTGTCTCCCAACAAAAGCAACGACAGAGCGGAAAATGAGAAAGACCGAGCCTTACAACTAGGGAATGAATGAATGAATGATTGTATTACGCCCGGAGGGAAGTCCCTATAGGGCCTTGACGCTTGCTAGTTACATTTCCGTACGTTTAGTCCTTGACACCCCAAGCCCCACGATTTGTCGTCTCATCGCTTGCTGCTCACCAGCTTTTGTCTCTCGACTTTGCGCTCAGAAGTTCTCTTATACCCTTCAATCTGTTCTTTGTTATTTGACCTGTCCCTTGCTAGTTCGGGAGCCTGTCCGGTGATGAACAGACCACTAGGTAAAGCAGGAAACGCAGTATCATAGTGGTCGCAAGCCGAGGGTGGAAACGAAGAAGCGGTGCTGTGGGGCATGCGGGAAGCCGGGACACAACGCGAGAACTTGCCAGATCGTTATTTCTTCGTCTGGTACTGTACGGATGACACGGAATGATTTCAATTGATTTGAGTCGTTGGGGTTGAGTTTGGAAGAGATATGCTCGCGTGGTCGCGGTCGGGTGGCCCGCTCGCTTGTCTGGCCCGCTCGCTTATCATGTACTATGCCAAGATTATTTATTTATTTATTATTGGGATGTCTGCCAATTAGTGCCTCGTGAATCCGAGAGCAGCCCGGAAGCCGCCTACGCCATTGGCGACATGAGTCAGAATGAGAACAAGCCTCAGAGAAGGATCAGCACCAATTCAGATGAACAGGTAGCATCACAGATTCCCTATGGCTACATTACCATAGAGAAGCGAAAAACAGAGAGTCCCTCGGAGGGTCTGCTGTGGAAACCGGACTTAATCAGCATAGAGGCGTTCGAGTCGACGCCCAGCAGCCGCTCGGCTACACCTCCCGCTATCGCCAGGTACAGATTCCGAGGCGATATGCGCATCAGTAGCGAGGCGGACCATCTCGTAACGGAGAAAGGATACGGCACCAGCTCCGAGGGAGAGGCTTTGTCATCCCATTTCGGCTCCACAGGAGTGGACAGCAAGCAGTGCGTCTTGTGCTCGCTGTTACACTGCGCAGCTGTCGAGCGGCCGTTTGACGCGAATGGGACAGCAACGTGGGCGAGCCGACCGGCGTGTAACCACAAGGAGCGGATAACACGGCGGGACCGCCTGCGTACGTTGGGGTACGTATATGATACCGACGATAGCTTGTCTGAGTCCGACGCCCTCGATCCGCCACCTAAACCGTGACCAAGCAATGTTGTTGATACCCCTCCACTTCTCACTCCTCAATCCAGTAAATGCGCCTACAAACGCCCATGGCAACGCAATCGACCTGGCCTTTCGAACATCCTTCTCGCCGAACCGAACGTGGAATGCAGTTCACCAAGAGCTCCGACCCGTTCACAGTCATCATCTCACCTCCAGATCGGGCGGTATGTAGCACTTGTCGAAGATGGAGTCGTGACCATTCCACCGCGGCGGGGTGGTAGACGATCCTAGCGTCAACCCCGAGGAGCTCCTTGGTGGAACAACGAGTGTATAGCCGCCGTGGCTGAGCACCGTTGCGGAAGACGGGCTTTCCCCATCGGGTTCAATCGCAACGTGCACTTGCTCGTCGGGACCTGTGGTGTGTTGTTCGACGGTCTAATTAAGAGGATATCAGCACAGCCTCATCAGCGCCGGGCAGCACGATATGGACATTTTTAAGATCACACGCTAGCTGAAAAGCTCTCGAGTATTCCTCCCGCCGCCTCGACAGGTAGGCAAGACGACCATCGAGACACAGGCTAGCAAGGCCGAAGCTCTACGACACACCACGCTGGAGCGAAGGCCTGCGCAGAATGACATTCCCCATCTTAGGATACCAGGTGATGTCACTACGCACATCCCGTTCCTGTGGAAGTGCCAATCGAAAAAGTGCAGGATGCTCGACATCGTACAGGGAATACGGCACCAGGATCAGATAATATCACGATACGCCTGCTCAGCACCGCATAACCTTCTTAGTAGCCATATATATGGGGCACCCCTCGAATATGGTAAACCATGAATCTCGCCACACACGCACTTATTGTTCGCTTACACTTTCCGGTTACTACCACACAAGTTGAGCTCTGTCGTTATGACTTGTAGTTGATGGCAAACTAAAGGAGTCACCTTCGCGTCCGGTGCGGACAGTGTGGAAACGATCGTCATGCTCACGGCGTAGGTCCTTTGCGATAGCGTAAAAAAAGGCCGTGTTTGCCACGACGCAGGAGCAGAGAATTTCGATCGATGCCCACTGTGCCATGTTGCGATGAGCTAATCCAATGCATTGTTTCCAAGTGAGCTTACCATTGAGCGAGCCTGCTGTGACAAAG